ACCTACATGTTCTAGAAGAATCTGGGATTTTTTTTCTTTGATTTTATAGCTATATTCATCAGAGACCAATTGAGTTATTCTAAGCAAATGTCATTTTAAAACACCTGTGTCTTTCATAATTAATGGAGGTCAGAGTTAAGTTTTATGGTGTCTCTCGATAAAATGAGTCATTTAGTTAATATGCTCATGATGGTGCAACCTTTCCTTTAATGCTGGCAGAATTTTATTACTTTACATGAAGACACAAATGAAATTCGTCTATTGAGGCCTACATTGCTCCTTGGGAGAAGATATTGTTGTGCTTAGTGATTTGTTGCTAATAGGTCCCTGGAGATGTTGATGGAATGCAGGAATGAGTTATTCAGTCCTCCAGTCAATAAGAAAAAACCTCCACTGGAGAGGAAGAACATGCGCGGAGATGTCCAGTGGGTGAAGGATGAATGGGCTTCAGAAATCTTCATTTGCCCTACCAAAGTGAACGGCTTTGGGATTTGAATGATCCAGTCTGTTGGATCAATGCAACCCTCCTAGATTATTGCTCCTCAAAGTATTATGGTTATTGCATTGGGATGAGCATTGGAAAAGTTTGTTCCAAGGTGTTTGAAAGAAATTCGGAACCATACTAAGAAAATCTTACCCTTCTATTTATGAGAGCTGTAAAAACCAGCCTTTATAGTGCGGTAAACTTCTCCTTTGTACTTCTGACACTAGAGACGGAAAGGAAATAGAGAATAGTACCTCTGAACTGTACAGCTGATCCCCTTTGAAGACTCTAATCTCTTCACCTCATGCTCTTCAGCCTGTGTCCCTGCAGGGTGGCAATATTCCTTATTACTGCTTATTTACATCCCAAGGTAGTATGAAGATTAATAAGAGCCTTTAAATGCTTTGGGTAGCTCAGAGTATCACCGTGTTGGAATGACTGACCATCCGCGAAACATTTGGTTAACATTCGCTGCTGGCGAGGGGCCAGGAGCATTCTTCCTCAGTGTTGGAAAGGCTGGAAGCCTCTCCTGCAAACCTCATATGTATTGTTCCCCTCCTCTCTACTCTCACAATTGCAAGATAAAGTGGTTGCCTCTTCTGGAATGCCCTGGAGAGCAGCTGCTCGCCGAGAACATAGATCTTACTTTAGGCAGTGAGAGGTCCAACATCTGGGAATATCAACTTTTTATTTCTTTTAGAAGGGTTTTCTTTCTTTTTCTAACCTTTAGCTTTGTAGGTCATTGACCCAAATGGTGATGGATCAAGCTGTCTTGGGAGATTTCAGGTCCCTCGTGTTGCTTAGCTGGATGAATTGGAATTGTCCCAACATCAAAAATGGGCTCAGCTACACTTGGAACCTGAGAGGTTCAGGGAAGGGTTTTGAGAGCCCCACCCTCTGCATTTATTGTCAGATTCTTGGGTTCCAGAGATGCAATTAGAGAATTCCACAGTGTTTTATTTACATTTCATCTTTTAAAATAGGTTTCAAATTGTTGAAAATAACGATAAAGTAAATACTGAAATATGTAATGTTGTGTTATTACTAATACGGAAAGATCCAGCAAGGCATTTAATTGCCTACTTAGTTTTGAATCTCTTATTTGAATGTACTAGGAACTTTTCCTCCAAAAGCAAATTAAGAAAGCAAAACATAATAGCTAACCATTCAAGTTAAAAATAGACCTTTATGGATTGGATAGATAGTTTAGGGAGGAGGATGCTTGCCTTGCATGAGGATGACTGTGGTTCTAATCCATGGCAATGCATGAGATTCTCTGAGCAATGCCAGGGGTCACTCTTGAGAGATTCAGAATAGCCCCTGAGAACTACTGGGTGTGGCCCCAAAACTGAACAGCAAAATTTCCTTTTGAGGCTGAGTGAAAAGATGTGAAACTTCCATCTCAAAATTTTGAAGTTTATAAACTAATTTTATAATTAACAAATAAATATTATACTTAAGTATTTTTGAATTAATTTTTCTAAAAAAGAACTGTTTTACCTCTCATATGTTTTTATTTAAAGTCATTTGGAAATATAGTACTTGGTTGTGAAAAATACAATGTTTCAGTTAATTTTTGAAAAGCCTTTGTCATCTAACTTATAAAGTAAAGTAAGTAAAGGCCCTCCCGTTGATCGTCGATTTGCTCGAGCGGGCCCAGTAACATCTCCATTGGAGACTTTGTTGTTACTGTGTCTGGCATATCGAATACTCTCGGTAGCTTGCCGGGCTCTCCGAGAGGGGCGGAGGAATCGAACTCAGGTCGGCCATGTTGGCCGCTTGTAAGGCAAACGCCCTACCGCTGTGCTATTGTACCTATAAATAATCACAAACATTTAGAAGTTTTTTTTAAAACATACTGACAGATTGTGGTGCTTAGCTCCAAAAGAGTGAAGAGTAGCTTTGGGGGTCCTCTTTAGTATTCACCTAGGGTTCTTAGACATTTGAACCTCAATGCCATGGCCCTGCAGTTACAGGAATTGCCAGGGGCACCCTAGCCGTGCGCCATGTTACACTCAGTTATGTGTCGGGGACCATGTGGTGTCAGGGATAGAACTGGTTTGGGCTGCATGCAGAGCCTACACCTGCTCCCTATACTTACAGTCCTACCCTTAACTGAAGGATCTTGAGTGCTCTTAAAATAAGTAAATAATCACTGTATCACTGTCATCCCGTTGCTCATTGATTTGTGAGCCTGTTGTTCATTGATTTGCTTGAGTAGGCAACAGTAACATCTCCATTGTGAGATTTGTTGTTACTGTTTTTGGCATATCAAATACACCACAGGGAGCTTGCCAGGCTCTGCTGTGTGGGCGGGATACTCTTGGTAGCTTGCCGGGCTCTCTAAGAGAGATGGAGGAATCAAACCTGGTTTGGCTGTATGCAAGGCAAGTGCCCTACCCGCTGTGTTATTGCTCCAGCCCAAGTAAATAATACTCACCGTAAAATAAGTCTTGGGAGGCAGGCTCAGGAGGAATCTCTGGTAAATGATGGGGAGAGAGAAGAAGCTGTCTCATCAGGCCAGTAGGATTAGCATATCCCCTAATGGGGAGATGGATGTGCCAGTCTCATTGTCCTCCCAGAAGCAAGAATTGATGACCGATGCCTAATGTTTGTCACAAGATTAGACACAGAATGATGTCTCTCATATGCAGACTATAAAGAATCTCTGGAGGCGAATAACAAATGCCCATAGGCAACAGAAACGGAGAACTTCTTTTTATTAGGAAGGATCCCATAGTACGGGAGCACAGTGGAAGGAAACTGGTCAATGGTGTAGGCAAGTGGACATTTAGGTGGAGAATGTGCTGCTGGTGGAATATTTCATGTATGAAAAGTAGTTTGCTAAAATCAGTGCGATGTTTAAAATAATCAAGTTTGTCATCAGAGTTCTGAAAAATTGGATTTTAGCAAAATTATTTATAAATGTGACTGTGAATGAACAACAGAGAAGTGAAATGATTGTCCTGTAAGAAATATCACTATGTGAACATATCACTATGTGAACTCTGTGTGTGTGTGTGTGTGTGTGTGTGTGTGTGTGTGTGTGTTTTCATGTATACATGTGTATGTATGGCACAGTTGAAATTAGGAAGAGGATTTGGAAGAATTTATTGATGAGGCTTTGTGGCACCGTGGACCAGGGGTCCCCATAGTGACCTCTTTTCAAATTGTAGGATTTTCCCGAAATCTTAATAATTTTAAAGGTAAATCATACTGTATCTCTTAATGTCTGGAAGATTCCTCAACTATAATTTGGGAGGCTCATGCCTCCAAAAATAGGATGACTCTAGATTTCATAAATTTGTTTTGTTTTCTTTCTGGGGATGCCCCTGGTGGTGCTCAGGGTTGGTTCAGCTTATTTCCTTCCTGTCATAGAGCCAGCCCTTACTTCCATCCCCAGAGCTTTGGGATTGTCTCCTCTTCATAGATCCTCGGGGGCTGCTTTCCGTCTTCTCCCCATTTCTCCTGCCCCCTTGCTGCACCCGGGATCCCACTCCTATCATGATCTTCAATTCCTGAATGACTTTAGGGCTCCTGGGTCCACAGGAGGATTGTTAGTTCTATCGAGCAGCAATAGAATCCGAAGCTGAAATGACCCTGGAGATGGTTTCCATGTTCTCTTGGCCACAGTGCAGGCTTGACCATTCTTCCTGCTCATGGTTGGAAACACTTCTTATCTCTTATTTCTTATCTCTGAGTCCTTCTGCCATACTTGGGCTCTGACTCTTTCAAACACTGATGGCAAACTCCCGGTTCATGCTTCTGAGCTTATCAAACCTTGAATCCATTCTGCAAGATAGAGTGCGGCAAGGTTCAGAACATAGCTGAATTTAGAACTTGGATAAATTTCATTTCTGTCTGTCTGTCTCTCTGTCTATCTCTCTCTTTCTCTGAATTGTGGGGCCAAATCTAGCAGTGATCAGGGCTTACACCTGGCTTTGTACTCAGGAAATCACTCCAGACAGGAGAAGGTTAGGGGACCATATGGGATGCTGGGGAATCAAATCAGGGTTGACTGTATTCAAGGCAAGTGCTCTACCCACTGTACTACCTCTCTAGCCCCCTATATTTAATTTCTGAAGGAGGTAAATGTAGGTGTTTTATACGAATGACAACTCAGAAGACTGACTTTATATAAAATCTTTTTCAGAATTGATTGCTTATGGCATTTTTCTGTTGCATATAATCAAAAAAGCACAACTACTAATTCTGATTTACATTAGTCTCTCTCTCCCTCTCTCTCACATACACACACACACACACACACACACACACACACACACACACTTTGCACACATGCACACATCTCTTTTTTCTTAACTTTTTCTCTCCAAACTGAAATGTGTTTCTGTTGATCTATAAAATACCTCATTGAACTGTAAGGTCCAAAGAAAACTGAGCCAGATTTAACAGGACAGTAATTTGAAAGATGAACATCACAAATGTTTTACCCTTGTGCTTGTGAGTTTGAATGGATTAAAAATAAAAAGATTTTCTTTTTTGTGTTTTGTAGAAACTACCTCTTCAGACTCCAGCTTGAGGACTTGTCTCTGATTCAGGTAGGTGCATCTTAACTTTTTCAAGCTTCATTTCCCATCCTGATTATCTCACTGTTTGTGTGGGCAGATGTTTGGAAAGCTGCCGATCAAGGCAGAACTGGGCCTAATTTCTCTGTAGGACTCCCGTTCTGTATGACTCATTGCTGCTTTATTCCCCAATTAGTCTTTTTCTCCTCCTGGACCACCCACCTTTTTATGTGCTGCATCTCTATCTACTCTCTGTCAAGTGGTAGATAATCTGAAGGACGTTTCCTCAATGTTGAAGCATGTCCTTTCCCCTTTGTTTAGAATAAGCATTGATTAGTTGGATTCATTCAGCTATCATAGTCTTATAAAAATCCTCTCCCTGAGAAAAAGCAACCGTGTTCCCTCTTTGTCATTTATAATTAAGCACATAGAAATAGACGATAAATAAAGGGATGAAAAACGCACTCAGGGCTAAGATGAAATGTTGCGATGGAGTGTAAACCTTGCATATGTGAGACTTTGCCACCTCCAGAAGATGGAAAATCAAAACAACCCAACCCTATAAATAGCAGAGCATGAGCAAGAGTCGAGTAAGATGCTACTTACCAACTTCTGTTTCTGTCGAAGTAGAGCAGACACTAGTGCTTGAATAGAATCCCGAGATCCCAGGGATTGAATGGAATCCTGAGGCCCTGGTCCTTGAATGAAGTGCTGATTTTAATGGCAGACTGGATGGAACCCCAGAAACTCACTTTCCCCCACCTGCTGTGGGTCAGACGGGCCTGCCCAGGTCCTCCTTGGCCTAGGAGGGGTGCGGAGATGAACACCTTCTTCACCAAGCTTCTTGACCTTCCCAAATGGCAGGAAGTGCTCCTGGGACTGTGTGCAGTTTGTTTAAAGCTCTTTGACCAGTTTTATTATTGTCTTCATATCTAGGAGTTATAAGAAGTTAATACAGAGAAGTTTATCTATAGTCTCCTCTTCATAATATTCAACATTCAGGGAACTTTAGAACTGAGGTTTATTGTTAGGTATATTTGATATTCACTTGAGTATTAAGTCAACTCCGTGTACAAAGCTAATGCAGGTGGAAAGCCAGGTCTTTGAAGCTCATTGAACTGCTTATGATCGAACCCCAGATGTCCCCCGATAGTGTGTTTCCTTGTCTGTGAAATGCCACAAAGCAGTCCCCTCCCCTATGTTGCGTCCCCTCTCCTATGTTGCTGCTGAAACAAACCCATATCGGACATGTGAGAGAGGCCTAGTAATATTTCAGCAGGTGACTCTGCTTCTTTTTAATTACCACATGTCAGCAAAGAAGTGCTTCCTGCTTTATTTTTTGTTTTTGGAGGGGTGTGGCCCTCTCAGGGGTTATCCTGGGTGTGGTACTATGGATGGTGCATTTGGTTGCAGTGAGCTGAGGTTTGCATTGTGGACTATGGCAGAGAATGGTGCTCATGGCTTTAAACCTGTCCAGTAGGTGTGGCACTGCTGACCTGTCCCTCTCCACCATCCCTGTCCCGTGCTCTACTTTTGTTTAAAAAATTATGGCAATAAGTTTTCCAGAGTTTTCCATCACTCGGGACCATGAACTATCTTTCTGCTGAAATTTAGTAGATAACAATTCTTAAAAGCAGTGGATTTGTTGGTAGAATCATAAACACCTTAATAAGAAATCAGAATGACCAGTTTAGCCAACATACATCTGAAGACTTTAGTTTATATTTTTTTAATTGATTCAATTTTATTTTTAAATTTAATTTAATAAATACATGTAGATCTTGGGGCCAGAGTGATATTCCCTTACATGTGACCAGCCTGAGTTCAATCCCTGGCACCCTGAGTGATCCCCTGAACCCTACCAGAAGTGATTCCTGAAATCAGAGCCAGGAGTAAGCTCCCTTGGGTGTAGCCCAAACAACAACAAAAAAATGAGTCTGAGATCTTTTATTGCATCCAAGCAGTATATTCAACTCATTCTAATTCTCATGGGTTTGATTATCTGTCATATTGAGTGTGCTAAGATGGTGAATTGTGTAATTAGCTGTATTTTACCACACAATCATTTCAAATTTTGTGCCTTTTATTTTATTTTTTCTTCAGAAATGCTGGTTTCAACCATTATTTTGAATTTTTGATAGTGAGTATAAAATGTTTGGACTGAAAGAAACAGGGTGTGATGATAATGATGTATGCAGTGATTATGCACTGAAATATGTTATGGATGTGTGAAAAAAATACGTCAGTGTGTTCATTGGATTCCTAGTTTCTTAGCTGTCTTTACCGAGATGGTCTAGAAGAAATTTTATCCCAGAAACAGTGAGCATTCTTCATACACACCAACTGATTTCTGAATATAATTCTCTACTCTAAGGAACCAAGGTGTATTGGAAAAGTAACTGATTTCTGGGTCCATGCAGCCTCTGTGCCAAAGAAGCAAGAGAGATCTTATATCAGAAAGCATCCAAAGTATGGAGGGAATATGTTCACAGTATCTAGTAACCAGCCTGGTTTTCTCCACCAGTCACTCCCCCATACCCCCCACCTTCCCCACCTCGGCCCCAATGGAGACTGGGATGATTTGGTAATTTAAAAAAGTGACACCCAATAAGAGAGAGAGAACAAAAGGGAATGCCCTGCCACAGAGGCGGGGGGGGGGGGGGGGGGTGGATGGAGCGTGGGAGGGATACTAGGATCCATGGTAGTGGGAAATGGGCACTGGTGGAGGGATGGGTATTTGATCATTGTATAATTGAAACCCAAGCACAAAAATTTGTAAGTCTACAACTGTACCTCATGATGTCTCACTAATAAAAAAAAAGTGAGAGCATGAGATTATAAAACATTACATAATCTAAAAATCTATGAGTGGATACTAACATAAAAATAAATGAATGCATAAACAAATGAAAGAAAAGGACTATTTTTCCTTATTGTAAAATAAATAATATTTACTGGATGACTTAACTGGTAGAGTACAGTTTAGCAGCGATCACTTGAAAAATTAACCCAGGCGAGAAAAATCAATGATTGCTAAAATTATGCTCACGAGTTTGATGATGACCAACATGGGTATGTAATATCCAAATATTTACCTTGAACATTCATAATGACAAGAGGCACACTTGTTACTGAGTTGTGACCTAAACTAGCCAGTTCCACCATGACCAACAAGTCAAATGCTAGTTCTCAGGAATGGGACAAAAATACATTCTGATTCAGTGCACTGGGAAGAACCCAGCTAGATTTGTATAATATTCCAGCTAAAAGTCCTAACCAGTTTTATCATAAGGAACCATTACTCAAACACAGAGAGGCATTTTCCAAACTGACTTCTACTCTTCAAAAATTAAAGGCATAAAACATCACAAAAAGCAGACAACTAGGAATGAACGCACCAACTAACAAAGCCCTTGATCCCAAGCATATCTTGGAACACAGAGACATTTATTCTTTGTAATCTATGTGAGAATTCCAAAAATGGCATGGCCTGCCGTGGTAGGAAGTTGAGACCCTGTGCTTAGAAAGGAGACTCTTGGGGTCACCGGAAAAATTTTGAGTCTGCAGGTGATGTAGTAGAAAAACCATTCCTGGCTTTGTAGAATGTTCTTGTTCTTTGAATGAATCTGCCGAGATCTGGAGGGGGTAAAGGTATCAATTTAGTAAAGGTAAAAGGTAAAGGCCCTCCCGTTGATCGTCGATTTTGCTCGAGCGGGCCCAGTAACGTCTCCATTGGAGACTTTGTTGTTACTGTGTCTGGCACATCGAATACGTCACGGGGCGCTTGCCAGGCTCTGCCGTGTGGGCGAGATACTCTCGGTAGCTTGCCGGGCTCTCCGAGAGGGGCGGAGGAATCGAACTCGGGTCGGCCATGTTGGCCGCGTGTAAGGCGAATGCCCTACCCGCTGTGCTATCGCTCCAGCCCTAACTTACGAAATGTTTGAAATATTTCAATGTGTGTGTATCACTAAGTATTATTTAATGAGTATGTGCTAACATAAGGAAACACACACACATTGAAAAGCTATGCACACAGGGCAGGAGTGATAATCTGGAGCTTGGGGGGCATCTGCCTGGCACCCTGCCAGGCTGGGCTTGGTTCGTGATATCCCTTATGATCCCTCAAGAATAATCCCTGAGTGCTGCTGGGTGTGGCCCCCAAACAAACAAAGAAAACAAACAAAAATCAAAGACTGCAGATGCACAGAGAAAGAATGTTGAAGGAAATGGAGTAAAATTTTGGCCAGAAATCTAGGCAGGACTGTGAATCATTGGGCTGTTCTTGTACCTTTTTACGATGCAATTTCAAAGTAAATGTTGGACATTCATGAGCACGTGTATCTCACACACACGTACACACATGCACACTCATACACACATACACACACGTGTATGTGTAATACCGGGGAGCAGGGGAGCCTCCATATTTTTCCCTTCCCAGTCCTTCGTCTGTGTTCCCTGGCATCAAGCTCAGAGAATGGGCATGAAGAATGCTCAGTGATTGGCACAACCTCCGTCTCCTCCTGTCCTGCCGCTCACTGACAGCCTTGCCTACTGACATAGGACCAGGGGCAGGGCCATGTGAATGTGGACATGACCGCACAGCCCTGCCAGATGCTAGTTTGTGCTGTGCCTTGGCTGGATGATGGGTCTCTCTGCCCATGCACAGCTGGGGATGCCTGTGCTGCTCAGTTACCCTCCTCCCTTGTTCCAGTGGGGGTCAGAGTGGGGGGGAGAGAGAGAGAGAGAAGGAGGGAGGGAGGGAAGGAGAGAGGGAAGGAGGGAGGGAGGGAGAGAGGGAGAGGGAGGGAAGGAGAGAAATGATGCTTTTCCACTGGACTCCCAGGTCCCCTCTCTCTAGGAATGTCTTTTTTCCTTTGCATAGCTTACTATAACCCAAGTAGCCATTTTGAGGGCACTGGCTGAAGGAAAGCCTGCCCAGATTTTTAACGGTGTTCTCCCAACCCAGCAAGGGTTTCATGCGGCATGGAATGGCCTGATCTGGCACCAGAACAAGCACAGAGATGCAGGAG